TTCTGGGTCTTGTCTGCAGCACTGCAGTACCATGCTATATATCATAGGAGTTGCTTCACAGGATGATGGCTATGCTGGATGGGAGGACAATTGGTCTAGGGGCTGTTGCTACTCCCACAGCTCTTGGATGTACCTGCCCATCAGTAGCAGTTGATCATTATTTGTTTTACAGGTGTTGAGGAAGGTGGACACCTTCTCTACAGTGAGTGCTTCCTTGAATGATGGTATTAGGCCTAGGGTCTAATCAGGACCAATGGTCTGAAGGACACTACTCTGTCCAAGACTTTTGGGTCCAGGGTCCTAAGCAGTCTTCCTCATGGTCCAAGGGGAGGTGATGGTTGAGGTAGTGGTGGCTGGCATATGCAACCTCTTCTCTTGGAATGCCTTGTCACTTCACATCTAGGAATTTTTGTTACTTCTTGCTATCAATCCATCTGTCTTCCAGACATACTAAATATTAAATTTTGTTTTGATCTCGAATGAAAAAAATACCCTGAATGAAATTTAGATATCCATTCATTGAACGCCTATTATGTGGAAACACTAGGGATATTAAGAGGAGTCAAACAGAGACCCTTCTTATAAGGGGTTTATAATGTAGGAGAGTTCAGAGATGTATATCAATAACTCATACAAGGTAGGTCATGATATATGTCACAAGGGAGTACAAAATGCTTTATCTGTTAAGTTGGAAGGCAGCAATTATTGATGGATGAAGGCATCAAAGAATTTGTAAGTAGTTGAAGTTCCTAACTTATCAAACATTTCAGAGTCTGTTTTGTTAGTAAAAGTTAATGCACTGTATTTTTCTATTAATCCATTAACTTATGAGAAAACAATCCTTACTCCTTTATCTTTGTTCACAAGAACTTAGGTGTTCAATATAACTGTATTTTTAGCACATAGTTACATTCGTAACTTGTTCAGCAAAAATTAGTCCTACAGTAGGTGAAACATATGTTGCCGATTTTAAAACAACCCCAAGAGTAGGCACAGAAATAGAAAATCAGTAATTCTTGATTATGTGGTTTTGTGGTGACTTTCTTGGTGAGCTGCCTGCCTAGCATGTGACATTTAACTAATCTGATCTAAGATTTATATTGGTATTGGACATGTATGACTTAATGACTAAAGCCCATAATAACAGCTTTAATTTCACAACTTGTGCTTATATACAGATCTTGCTAGCGTGGATGCTTTTGCACAACTATGCTAAATACTTTTCTTGGAATGATAAGACACAAAAGCTTAGAAGCCTGTTTTAAGATTTGATTGCTACCAAAATTCCCATTCTTCTGAAAGTCTTCAAAATGACAACTTTATTAACTGTCATCTTTTCAGTATTCATATACTGTCAAGTCAGTAAATATTTATCATGTCTAATGCTGAGCTATCTAGCCCTCATGGTGTAACATACACAGTTTCTGACCTCAAGGATATAGTTTTGTTGGGGATGGAAGATATCCAGTCAACTAGAGAGCAAATGACTGTATTCAAATGTTGGAGTGAATGGTAACACTTTTAGTGTTACAAGTATATTTAGAATAAGGAGACTAGAAGTGGTGGGATTTAAGATAGGCCTTGAAGGAAGCAGGGTGGGATTTGGATTGGAGAAAAAGGCAAGACATTATTGAGGATAAATCATATGAGGAAAGTAAATATGTGTGTGTGTGTGTGTGTGTGTGTGTGTGTGTGTGTGTGTGTGTGTGACAGAGAGAGAAAGAGAGAAGTGATCTTCTCTACTAGGCTGTGTTCACTGTACCCCAGAAAAACAAACTGTATGGGACTTTGGAATCAAAGACTGAGAAGACATTTATAGATTTATGATATGGATAGGAAGCCTTAAAATATATTGTCACTATAGTATGGAGGATTTTTCTTTCATCTTTGATCCTTATCAATGTATTCATGACTAATGCCTCTATATTCCAGGTCTTAGATTTCACAAAGAAACGTATCTCCTCAATGTACAGTTGTGTTTTAATCAAATTTGGTGTAATTAAGTGTACCTTTCTAGTCATTGTTCATATTCCATTCCATCTCAGTGATACCTGTGAGGTTATATTTAACTCCCTTGTGTTAACTTCCTGCCCTTTACAGAGTGCATTTATTTATATGTAGACATCTAAGGTCATGAATATTATTACCGCCTTTCTTCTTAAACAATACTTCTATATAAAATGTTTCAGTTATATATTATAACATTAATTCAGAGTACGCTTTTGTTAAAACACTGTAGGTTTTTATGGCTAAATGGATTATCACCTTTGCTTTACTCTAAAGGTTTGATGCCTAGATAAAGTACTTCATTTAAGGCATTTTGTTTAATAGAGAACTTGTATATTTGGGTGCCTCACTAGTTTTGTCTGGAATAGGAGTTCTTAACTTGGAGTCCATGAATTTGTGTTGTTTGTTTGTTTGTTTGTTTTTCTATATTTTGATAAACATTTCAACATACTTTATTTGCTATCCTGCTTATTTTACTTTATACATTTAAAATTATTCTGAGAAGGGATCCATAGCTTTCCATCAGACTACCAAAGGAATCTGTGACACAAAAAAGGTTAAGAACCATCTCTTTGAGAAAATGTAATATATTACACTTGGTTACTACATAGTTATTTCCCTCTCTAGAAGTTGTTATTCTGATAGTGCCATATTAAGTTTAGATAGAGAAAAATACTAACATTTTGAAATATGATTAGCGATGCAAAAAAAAAAAATCCCAGCTACATTTAATATAGGAACATATCAGGCCAGAGGAGCTTCAAATAGTCCCATTTTGCAGTGGTCTTTGAGTTCATTCCAAGAGGAAAGCAGTTGGCTTATACTTATGACCCATTATTAAGAGTCCATCTGTGTCATAGAAGAAGTTCCAATATACTAGAAAAGATATTTCTTGGTTGCTGAGAGATAATTAGATATTGACATTTTAAGTGGCCAAGTCTAAGGATAATACCTAGTATTCTTTATTCTTAATTCTAAAGTCCCTGAAGAGTAACTAACCAAGCATTAGAGATAATTTCAAGCAATCTGAATATCCTTAAGAAGTTTTGGCCACCTTATTTTTCCACCACACCTTTGCATATATAACTTATTATTATACAGTACAGCTTCAGTACTGTGGATAATTATCCATTTTTGTTCATATTTACTGCCCTAAAAATGCTTCTTCTAGATTCCTTCTCTTAAGATGAACCTTTTGTTTTACAATAAAACAAATACTGTTGTTAAAATGGATAGTAATATGAATGCTTCACTCTGTAATGATTAACGTGATTATTTCTTTGTTACATGTCATTAGAGAGTGAGTCTTTTTTAAATGACCTGAAACATTGAAATATTAATCCAGCTTCTTCTTTATTGAATGTGTTCCAGATATATAATGCAGTCATTAGAGATAATAGGTTTTGTATTACAATAGGTTTTGTATTATCTAAAGATAATACAAAGTAAAGCTTGACCTATACAAATCCACCAGTAAAACTAATGTTAGAATGCAGGTCTTTTGATTCCCAGTTGAATACTTGTAGACTTCAGTATTCCTATTGCATCATGGTCTGTTAAGGTCATCTTGGCAGCAGTAACCAGAATGTTACAGATAAGGCTGCAGTTTATAATTTTGCCTCCTCATTAAGAAAATAACAGGAAAAACAACTGTCCCAAATAAAAACCAACGATCTATAGTTCTTTTTAAGTTGTCACATTATGCATGTGTTCAGTCTCATTGCCACTTGGCCTTTTTGATAATGCAGGCCACTGAATTTATAACCTTCCAAAAGACTTGGGGAAGACATGGATCAACAAGAAACAAGTCAGAACATTTATTTCAACCATGAGAAGTACGGATGTAATATAACTGCTCTGGAATTGCCCAGGAATAAGAAAAGGTTCACACACAAAAAATTACTAAAAAATTGAAAAAAGAAGGAATTAACTTTAATGTAACAGAGATTTCCTAACTGGAAGCCTTACTAAATAAGTTTCTTTAGTTGTTACCCATGAATAATCAAAAATCAATCAGTAAAAGTTTATTAAGTTCCTGCTCTGTGCAAGGTACTTGCTAAGTGTTGGAATATAAAGGCAAAAGTGGCGCAGCCCTGGCCCTCAGGAAACTTGCAATCTATGAAAGATATGACAGACACACATAAGAAACAGATACAAGGTGGTGGGTGGGTGTGTCGCGCGCACATATGTGTGCATGTGTGTGCAGGGCCCCAGTGGTTGGGTGATACTTGATCTAAGTCTTAAAGAAAATAAGCAATTTTAAGAGGAGAAGTGAGTGCCTTCCAAGTATAAGTAGCTGCTATTAATGTGGCAGTAGGAAGTGTGACTCTGAGATGTGTGAAACAGCTAGAGTCCTCTTGGCAAGGTGAGAACCATTGTTCCACGCTGGGCCTATAAATTTGCTGATATCTAGGCATGAGAAGAGATGGGTAGGAGACATGGGGGGATTAGAGTGCTTTACTAAGCTGGATGAAAATCCAAAAACAGCACATTTGAAATTAAGACAACTATAAACTTTTGGCAAGGATGTCTACAGGTAGTTTTTAGCTCACCTTTTTATTCCAAGAGTCAGTTCTCTTAGATTTATTTTGCTTATTATGCAAGGAAGTAAGTTTGCCATATGTCTTCTTCTTACTGTCTCACACATAGACATTAGAAGACCTGTATAGACTAGGAATGAAACAATGGCCTGGTGGGTCATGACTTGTACAGATGGTTCAGTATGGGTCATTCTTTATTTGCTCATGTGTCAGAGAAGCACCCTGGTGCTTCTGTTAGGCAAGCAATGAAGGACATTCTCAGAAAGATTTGTTGGTTATTTTTTGTTTTTTTTAATCACTTTTGTAACATTTATTGGAAAAGTTTCTTCCATCAAAAGTAAACTCCCCTGTGGAGTCCCATAGCCTAAGTTATACTTTTAAAGGATTCTTTTCTCTGCTCCTTAGCAAACAAGATATTGCGTGGCATTCCATTTCTGCTTCTTTCTTTTGTAGTTGTATAATTTTGGAGAAGTAGCTTCCATTGTTTTCTGGACAAGGACCTGGAAACCAGAAAGCTTCTTTGACAGAGTGAAGACAAACAGACAAAACGGCTTGCACACACTGTGCTTACTGGGTAAGAATTTTGATCTTTTAAGTCAGGCCTTTGTCCCTCAGGGGCTAGGAGAAGCACAGTGAACCAGCCAATTCAACAAAGGAGTGTTCAGATAGGAAGAATGAGAGTCAGAAGATAGTATCACAGAAGCCCATGGAGAGTTTCCAGAAATTCGAGAGTGATCAACAGTGTCAAATGTTGCAGAGAGATTGTGAAATTTAGCAATACAACAGTCATAAGTGATCTTTGTGAAAGCAGGTTCACTGTTATTGGGGTCAAAAGCCAAATTGCAAGGATTTGAGATAGGAAGACAGATAAAAGATGGTAACTTGAGGGAAGTGGATGTAGGAGAGGCCTGAATTTTCTTATAAGTATTTAGATAATCAAAAGATAGAGGTATAAAATGAGATAGAGATAAATGGAATTGTGAATAAGTAGGATGAATTTCTGAAAATAACTATAATATCCCCATGATGTCTTCTCAAGGCCAAACATTCTTCTTTCTTCAGTTGGTCCTCATACCCTCACCATTCTGGTCACAATTCTCAGCTTCTCAATTTCTTCCTAAAATATGACACCCAGACCTGAATACTATACTCTTGGTGTAGCCTGCCCAGGACAGAACACAACAGTATTGTTATCTTCTTCATTCTAGATACTTCTGTTAATGCAGTCTAAGATATTAAGATTTTTGGGAAGAAATATCATATTGTTGACTTAGTAATTCTCCTTAGAAAAGCAAAACATGTATACATAAAGAGGACAACCAAGTCAGTAAACATTAAACACCTACTATATGCTAAGCACTGAGGATACAAAGAAAGGCAAAAGTCCCTGCTTTCAAGGAGTTCAGAGTCTAATGGAGATAACGAGCAAACAAATATATAGAAACAAGCTTTATATAGGATGAATAGGACATATATTAAAAGAGGGAAAAATACTAGAATTAAGAGAAATTGAGAAAGGCTTCCTCTAGATGAGACTTTAATTGGAATATGAAGGAAACTAAAGTCGATAGGCATCTAGGGTTTGAGGGACAGCTGGAGAAAATGCTCAGAGCTGAAAGATGGAATGTCTTATTTGTGGAACAGCCAGGCACCAATGTTACTGGATAGAAGAGTATGTGCCAAGGTTGGGGAGTGTAAGGTGCAAGAAGATTGGAAAGGTAGGAGGGGGCTAGGTTATAGAGGGAATGCCAAACAGAAATTTGTTTTTGATCCTGGAGCTTTTAGGGAGACACTGAAGTTTATTGATTAGAGAGGGGATGTGATCAGACCTGTACTTTAGGAAAATCATTTTGGTGGATGAATGGAAGATGGTTTGGAATGGGGAGGCACTTGAGGGAGGCAGACCCACCAGCAGGCTGTTACAGTAATGAAAGCATGAGGTGAGGAGGCTCTACAATAGAATGGTAGCAGTTTCAGAGGAGAAAAGGAAGAGTATTGAAGAGATGTTTAAAAGGTGAAATCAACGAATCTGGATAACACATTGGATATGAGAAGGAAGAGAAAGTAAGGCATTCAGGTAACATCTAGGTTGAAAACCTAAGGGCCTAGGAGGATGGTATTGCCCTCTACAGTAATTGGGAAGTTAGAAGAGGGTGGAGGGTTTAGGGCAGGGGTGGGGAACCTTAGACCTCCAGGCACCATGTGGCCTTCTAGGTCCTTGGGTGCAGCTCTTTGACTGAGTCCAAGTTTTACAGAACAAATGGGGATTTGTTCTGTGATGTTTGGATTCAGTCAAAGAGCTGCACTTGAGGACCTAGAGGGCCATATGTAACCTTGAGGCCACGGGTTCCCCACTCCTGGTTTAGAGGAAAGATAATGACTTTTGTTTTGGACTTGTTGAATTTAAGATGTTTAGTGAACACAGAGTTTGAGATATCTGAAAAGAAGTGGAAGATCTGAGACTGGAGATCATCAGAGGTTAGGACAGGATGGGTAGAGTTGAGAATTTAAGCAAATAAGTGAGAATACCAGAGGGCAATTTGTTGGAGGTAGCAAGATAGAATGGGATTACTTGTGCAGGTAGAGGGGTTAGCCTTGTAAGAAGTCAGGCCATCTTTTCACATAAGACGTAACTTGAAGGAGGAGATGGTGACAGAAGGCATCTGATATGAGATGGGAAAGAAGGGAGCAGAGGAAGCTCACGGTGAATCGCCTTAATTTTTTTCTGTAAATTATGAAGCAAGGTTCTTAGGTTGGGGGTGGAGGGGAGCAGGCAGAGTAGAAGGGGGAACCATGGGAGGTTTGAGGAAGAAAAGTTGAAAGAAAGACTATGAATAGACAGTTGATTGATAAAGGAGATATAGTAGAATTACTTAGCAGCAGTGAGGACCCAACTGAGGTTGTGTTAACATAAATTTGTAGTGGGTTCAGTCAAAACAATTGTGTGATTTTCTGCACCTTTTTTCAGAAATGTATATGAGCAACAGTGAGGAATAGTGAGAGTGATCCAAGGCTGAGACTTGGCAGGGTGCATTTGGTAATAAGGCAGTAAGGGGGCCAGGGACTTGAAAAGAAGAGAGTGTAGAGTTGAATTCATTCGCCAAGGGATCAAAAAGGGGAACATAGGAGAGTGGCTAGTGCAGGGGTAATGGCCTGGGAGAGAACTGAGAGATTAAGATATTGAAGGGTCACAATGGGGACAAAAGCCTAATGTAAAACTTTATGCGAGGTAAGAAAGGCAAAGTAGAATAACCCTTTTTTTCCTGATTTGAGAGTTCTTTTTGAAAGAGCTGCCTGTTTTCTCTTATTCTTCTAAGACAGAGAAAACAAAATGACCAGCACCTGATTTAAACTGTTGATCCCTTATGCTTTTGTGATAAAAGCAAAATACTTGGGGAATTGCAGGGCCATCTGTATTTAGATGAATCACAAAACATGATTTTCCTCCTTTAATTCTCTGGATATGTCAGTACAGTGGCGCTTACAGAGCAAAAAGTATATTCCATCACAAGACAGATTCATTTGAGAGACAGGCTTAAGACATGAAACAATTAGAGAATGCTAAATATGAGATTTGCTCGTATTTTATTGCTAAATGGAGCAGTCCCCATTTTTATCAAGAATTCATTTTTTGAGTCTGGAATTCTGAAATTATTTTCCCATAAAAATGATATTCTTCATGGTATTTGGGCTCCCAATCTAGCCCCCCAAACAAAGTCTGTATAACAGTGATTTACCTTAAGTACAGTGTCATGCTGATATTACTGTAGAGTCTAATAACCATGTATGATAGATGTTTCAGTAGAACAGTGTGTTCAGAGACTTGCTACCTCAGCAATACATCATATGCACTTTTCTCCCTGCAAACTCCTTCCCTTTACCCCCTATTCCTCCTTGTTGAGAGTCACATACACTTTTAGAGAAAAGCATAGCCAGTCATGGGAACTTGGAATAAGGATTGGGGCCCAAGATAGAGGATAAAGAGATAAGAAAGAACTGGAAATTATACCAGGACCAGTTATGGGGGCTGAGGAGGCTAGCTGCCATAGGCCCCTTACTCATACCAGTCATGCCACTGTAGAACCTGCCCTTCATTCTGGGGTCAGCGAGAATAGGATATGAGATGGGGATGTAGTCCCAGACAATAGCAATGAAAGGAGGAAAATTAGCACAGAAAGAAGGTAGCTGCTGTGACAACTGGCTCTTTTCTTGTGGGTTTTTTTGGTTTTTTTCTTTTTTTGTTCATTTGTTTTTTGTTTTTTTTGTTTTGTTTTGTTTTAATGTTCCTGTGTAAGGAACAAAAATAAAATGGCATTACCTAAATTGAGGATTCTGTGTTAACTCATGCAGTGTAAAAAAGGGAAACAAGTTCAGTGTAGAGGGGGTCATCATTGTTGTTATGTAGTTGGGTCTCACACCAGGCCCTTCTCTCCCTCACTATCTCTCAAAGTCTGTTCAAGCTCATGTTCATTGTTTCGATGACATTATTCATTCATCTCATCCTCTGCTTTTCCCTTTTCCTTTTGCCTTCAATCTTTCCCAACTCAAGAGATTTTCTAAGGAGTCCATTCTTATTATGTGGCCAAAATATTTAAGCTTCAGCTTCAGTATTTGACCTTCCAGTGAACAGCCTGAATTAATTTCTTTAAATATTGACTGATTTGACTTCCTTGCTGTCCCAGGGACTCTCAAAAGTCTACTTCAGGGGCAGGTAGGTGGCACAGTGGATAGAGCATTGGCCCTGGAGTCAGGAGGACCTGAGTTCAAATCTGGTCTCAGACCAAACACTTAACACTTACTAGCTGTGTGACTCTGGGCAAGTCACTTAACTCCAGTTGCCTAAAATGGGAAAAAAAGTCTACTTCAGCACCACAATTCAGAAGCATTGATTCTGTGGCACTCAGCTTTCCTTACAGGCCAGCTCTCACAGCCATACATTGCTACTGTAAAAGCCATAGCTTTGACTATATAGACCTTTGTCATCAAAGTGATATCTCTGCTTTTTAGTATACTATCCATATTTGCCACAGCTTTACTTCCAGGGAGCAAGCATCTTTTAATTTCATGGCTGCATTTGCCATCTGCAGTGATCTTTGAGCCCTGGAATATAAAATCTGACATTGCTTCCATTTCTTCTCCCTCTATTTGCCAGAAAGTGATCAGTTACCAAGATCTTAGATTTTTTTGATATTAAGCTTCAAGCCAGCTTTTGCACTCTCCTCTTTAACCCTCATCAAGAGGCTTCTTAATTCTGCTTCACTTTCAGAGTGGTATGGTATGCAGATCTGAGATTAACATTTTTCCTGGCAACTTTAATGCTGGCATTTGATTCATCTGGCCCAGCATTTTGCTTGACGTACTTTGCATCTAAGTTAAATAAGTGAAGTGATAGCGTACAGTCTTGTCATACACCTTTTCCCACCTTAAACCAATCAGTTCCATGTTCGATTCTAACTGTTGCTTCCTGGCCTGCATATAAGTTCTTCAAGAGACAAGTAAGATGATCTGGTACCCACATCTCTTTGAGGACTTGCTACATTTTGTTGTGTAGCCAGTGAAGCAGAAGTAAATGTTTTTCTGAAACTCTTCTTGTTTTCTCCATAATCCAGCAAATGTTGGCAATTTGGTTTCTCATTCTTCTGCCTTTTTGAAAACAAGCTTGCTTTTTCTGGTAATTCTCGGTCCATATGTTGGCTTAAGCCTAGCTTGTAGAACCTTAAGCATAACCTTGCTGGTATATGATGTGAGTGCAATTGTTTGGGAATTTGAACATTCATTAGCATTGCCCTTCTTTAGAATTGGGACATAAACTGATTATTTCCAATCCAGTGACCACTGTTCTGTTTTATGCCAAATTTGTTGGCATATTGAGTACAGCACTTTGATAGCATCATCTTTTAGGGTTTTAAATAGCTCAGCTAGAATTCCTTCACCTCCACTAGCCTTTTTTTTTTTAATTAGGCAGTTGGGGTTAAGTGACTTGCCCAGGGTCACGCAGATAGTAAGTGGCAAGTGTTTGGTCTGAGGCCAGATTTGAACTCAGGTCCTCCTGACTTCAGGGCTGGTGCTCTATCCACTGCGCCACCTAGCTGCCCCCACCACTAGCCTTCTTGTTAGCAGTGCTTCCAAAGGCCCATTTGACCCAGATGTCTGACTCTAGATCAGTAACCACAAGTTAAGATTAATATAGTTCTTGTATAATATTTTTGTGTATTCTTGTCACCTCTTAATCTCTTCCACTTCTGTTCTGCACCATATAAGTGGGACTTTGAACTTTAGTACCTTAACATCCTGAGTTTTCTAAGCTCTTAGAAATTGTTACTTAAGATGAATTTTGTATGTGTCTTTTATGCTAACTTATTTTTATGGGATGAGCTAATTTCTGATTATGTAGATACAGAAAAGTCCTCTCAAATCTATTTTCATTTCATTTATTTTAGTGAAAACAAAGTTTCACTGAAGTGCATATAGGGATCAGCTGCTGTTTCATGTTGGGTTCTTAGGAGGGTAGAAAGTGAGTCTGCCTTTTTACTCTTGACCAGTTTAGTTGACCAGTCAGTGTATGGCTCACTGTTTACATGTTATTGTATTTTATGTTTTTGTATTGTAGCTAGCCACTGCCAAATATTTGTAAGAAGCTAATGAGTTAGGACCATGAAAGGCTGCCTCCATGAGTTTATGATGTGATAGCTTGAATTCTGACCCTAGTTGTCCTACCATTCATTAGACACAGCTAATTTATTTTAAAGGCAATATTGAGGCTTTTTATGTGTCATTTTGAATCCATTGATGCTGAAATTCTGGAGACTGGAGAAACCCTTGCACAATTCTTAACTGTGTTTTTTCAGAGTACATATGGCAGCATGTACCAAAATTTTGTGAAAAGGTCATATTCAGGTCTATTCAGTTCACAGCCCTGAGAATACAGTAATTTAGATTAGCTGTTGGGTAAAGGGCAAGCCAACATGGTAAGTCTAGTTCACCTAAGATCATAGAGGAAGGGAATTTCCTCTTTCAAAGCTTAGTCCTCAGCACAATTTCTTTTTGTCTTTAGCTTAGAATTGTTGTAAAGTGATAATTGGTGGCGTTTAAAGCATGCAATTTCCTTTTAGGTTGCAAATTTGCAGTATGTAAGGTCTCCTACAGGAGTTATGAGTATTCTTTATTATTTAACATGTATTTTACAAAATTGGACTCTAAAACCTCACAAGTCAGGTGGCCATTAACTGAGACTTAACAGTGTTTTGAATAAAGTACGTATTTAAACCTATAATTTTTTTTTCCCTTTCTACAGACCTCCAAATAAGGGAACGGTCTTTGGAAAATCTAATAAAGTGAGTTATAGCTTTGAAAATGTGAACGTGTCTTTTGAATCACTTTATATTTTTACTCTGTGTTATTTATATGAAAGGACGTAAATATTCAAAGTGGTTAAGAAAAAATAGACTTGATTATTCATTATAGTTACAAATTAAATATTGCTAAATTTTTTTTCCTAATCTTTGGTCATACATAGTTTATCCTTACTACTCATTGAAATAAAATGACCCCATCCAAGTTTTTGTCTAGAAGTTTACTCTTAAGTTAATCCATTGAAGGAAGTAGTAAAAAGAGGAAAATGTGGCTTATAAAAATCAATGATATTCTGATTAAGTTTCTCAGTATCCTTAGCAAAGCTGAGCCTAGCATTACCCTGCCACTTATTTTGAATGATTTTTGCTCAGTACATCCATTTTTTGAAGGTAGTTTTGGATTTTATGCTAAATATGAGGTCCAGTGATAATACTGTAAAAGGCATAGGAAATAACACTGGAAAAAAAAAAGAAATAAGACTGAAGTTCTAACCAGTCCATTGTGTACCCAGAGTGGGTTTTGTACAAGGCTTCAAATAACATGTGGGGCAGGTAGTGCTTAGGCAGATGTGGGGGAGTAAAATTACATTAATGAAGTGTTGTGTGGTTTAACGGTTAAGAACAATGAAATCTGGTTTGTGCTTGTAGGGGAAGGAAGATCTATGAGCCTCCACGATTCATGACTGTGAACCAAGCAGCCCAGCAGCTTCTGGAGATTGTTCAAAACCAGAGAGCTCGCGGAGAGGAACCAGGTGCTTACTTAGATCTCTTTGGGTCTGACAAGGGACTTCACAGGTTTTTAGCTAGTTTTGCAGCTTGAATCTCCCTACAACATCCCTGACAAGTTGTCCTCCAGCCTTCACTTGAATCTGCAGGAGTTCCCAGTCACTGACCCCATTCACCTCTGTCTTACCTTAGTTACTTTAGATAGAGTCATTGATTGCTACTCCTAAATTTTCCTTTGGCTCTTAAGGTTGTTCATAGCATTCACAGAGTCTTAGAATGTTATAGTAGGAAAATACTTTTAGAGATCATCTTGTTCAACCCCCTCATTTTACAGAGGAAAAAACTGAGGCCTGGAAAAGTGAAGTAATTCCTCTAGTCCCTTTTCATTTCTTTTTGTTCTTAAAATACATAAGCTACCTATTAAACTGAAAGAGATACACTGAAGGTACTATTAATATAAATTTTAACTTATTGAGGGTATCTGAAGAATGCAAATCTTATAAACTAATTCCACCAAAAACAATATGTTACAGTTTGAAAAATATGAGAGAATGGTCATAACTTATATTTGCTTTACTTATCATTAGCACCTGAGATCAGGAGCTTCCCCCACTGACCTCTGTTGTAAGATAGTTGACTTGACTTTGACCACCATTTCCTGACACACCCTTACAAAAAAGAGATTAATTTAGAAACTTTTTAGTAACTGGTGATGCTGAGTTTATTCCCATTACTAGTTCCTCAGTGATGGTGCAAACATTGTACTGGGGTTTCCAGTATTTATAGTTTACATAATGTCTTCACTCCATGGTTAGTCTTTGTGCAAATTGCTTAATTCACACTGATCACTGTTTCTAGTTTGGTTTAGGGCTGAGGGTAGGAGAATCAGAGGATGGTAAAATCTCTCTCTCTCCTTCAGCTTAAAGACCAGTGAGTCATGCTGAATTAACTACTATGAGTGACTGAAATTCACTAGTCTCAAAATGTTTGAAGTATGTGATTTTTCAAGTCACTGAGCCATTGTTTCTATCAGAAACTTAACTCATTTGCTAAAGTATCATTTATGCAAGTACCATTCAGTCTAGAAAGATAGACTCTGAGAACGATTATGATTAAATCTGTATATTTCATGATTTGTATGGACTAGTTAAAGAGAAATGTCCTGGAATAATCTAGGGGGGAAGCCCTTCAAGCTTGAAAGAAGTAAACGCCTAACAAAAATAAATAAATAAATAATGTGCTAAGGGAGTAAAATTATGGTAAACCAAGTTTCAATCAGATAAATTCATCTAAACTTCTGATTACTAAGGAAAAATTAAGATGTTTGGAGTACATCTATCTTTAAGAATGCCTGAGAAGCAGTAGTTTCTTAAGAGTAGGGACTAGACCAGATCACAGGGGATCTGTGAAGTTTGGATTCAGTCAAAGAGCCGAACTCGAGGACCTAGTGGGCCATAAGTGGACTCCAGGCCGAAGGTTCCCCGCCCCTGAACTAGACTGTTTATCTTTGTGTTTCTGTTTATATAGTAGGCAATTAATAAATGTTTATTGAATTGAATAGATCCTAAGGCAGGGGTGAACTGCCCTTCATTAAACCTCTTTCTCTCATGCTCTTTCCATTTCCTTTTAACTGCAGAAAATTGACTCTCCCCTGATGTTGCTTCTGTGTCTGTTCCCACTAATACTAGATATATCTTCTTTTGTATCCCCTTTTATATCAGTGGCCATTTCTACACTTTTTCTTTCTCAAGCCACCTAAATTGACCATCTCATCCATTCTCTCTTATGAGAATTCCTTGCCTAATATTTGTTTAAATTTTTTTACAAAGAAATTTTATGTATATTATTTCTTATATCACCTTTATTTCCCACTATATTTTTCCTTCTACCACCTACCCCCTCCCACAGCCCCATCCCATATAATAAAACATTTTTTTAAAAGGGATAGGAAAAAGTTCCACAAAACTACCCAACAAATCAAAAGTCTGACGTTATATGCAGTACTCCACATTCATGTATCCAACAAACATTTCACTTGACTAGCCATCTCAACAGACAAGCTGTATGTCATCACCTTATATCTTTTCCTCACATTTCACAACCAGACTTCTAGGAAAAAGTTATCTCCACTGCTGCCTCCATTCTCTTACCTCCCGCTCACTTCTCTGGCCCTTATAATCTGGTTCCTGTTCTTTTCATTTAACTGAAATTGTGCTTTTTGAGGCTGACCCTTGGGTCAGCAATTGTACCTTTATTGTAAATCCTTTTCTCTGGCCTCATCCTTCTTGTAGCATTTGACATTATTACCTACTCTCTCTGTGGGTTTTCATGACACTACTATGCCATGGTTCTCTTCCTGTTTGTCAGACTCATCCATATTCTGCCCCCTTTAAAATACAGGTGCACACATATATACATGGACATACATACACACAGTCATGCATGCACACACTTGAGCTCACTTCCCAGGGTTCTGTCCTGGGTTTTCTCCTCTTCTCACTCTACACCCTCTTTTGTTGATTATCTCCTCAGTCTCCCACCTGTATCCAGCTACCATTTCTGTATAGATGACTCCCAGACATACATAGCTGGGACCCTTCACTATTTCTGGAGCTCCAGTGCAATGCCTTCAACTCCCTATTGAGAATCTCCACTGTTATATCCAATAAGTATATTAAACTCAACAAATTCAAAACAGGATTTATCTTCCCACTGCACTTATCCTGCTTTACTCTACCCTATTTTTGTCAAGGGTGTTTTCCACCCTTCTTGTCATCCAGGTTCTTAACCTACTATTCAACTTTAACACTTTATTCTCCTTTTTAGAGTCATAAATAGGTTGTTTTGCTTAATGGGACTAGCATTGGACCTTGGGGTCAAGAAATCTCATTTTAATCCCAATTCACATGCTGACTAGCTGTCTTATCATGGACAAGTCATTTATCCTTTCCAAGCCTCAGTTTCCCCATCAGTCAAATAGGGGTGATGATATTTAGCTATTGTAAAGAAAACACTTCAGAATCCTTGGTTTAGGTCAGTTCAACAAGCATTTATAAGTATTTAATCTCTGCCCTCAAGATGTTTACATTCTGCTAGAAGGAAGAAGGTGAATGTGCTAATAAATTGAGGGAATAAGGAAAGGTCTTTTACAGGAGATTGGCCTTTATGTGCTTATTAGCAAAAGCCAGGCTTGCAGTGAGGCAGAGGTGAGCAGGAGGTATGTACAGGAGTGGGTGACCACTTGTTCAGAATCATTGAGGGAGAAGATAAAGTGTATTCAGGGAATGTTAAGGAGCCACATAAATTTGAGTTGTTGCATCAAATTCCCTTTGACACAACCATTAAAGACAGGATATTGGAGAGAGCATGGTTTCTGACTCAGTTTGAAATACTTATCCTTATTTTACAGCCATCACTGAAGAGACAATCTGTGTGGGCCTGGCCAGGGTGGGATCTGAGGAGCAGAAAATTGCTGCTGGCACCTTAAAGCAAATGTGTACTGTGGATCTGGGTGGCCCTTTGCATTCATTAATTATAACAGGAAACTTGCATCCTCTGGAGGTAGAAATGCTGAAACTGTTTCCTGTGCCAGAAAATGACTCTGAAACCCCAAGTTGTTGATAGCTCCTGCCTATAGCCACTGTTTCTGCACTCCTTTATTTCATTGTCAGATGTATATACAAAGATGTGCGACTTCAAAAGTCAAAATGGACAAACATTTGGATTTTTCTCATGAATAAAAAAGGAAATAAATTCATCAAACAAAACCTAGTTTCATTAGAGGCCACATCATTCCTTCTGAGATCAGTTGGTGTCACCTTGACCACTTCCTAAGATGACTTGCAGGAGGGTACAGACAGAGCAGGAAGGTAACATAGACATAGGTGGAATGGTTTTGTAACTTTTCCTAACCTTAAGAAATTGGGTTTACTGTTTTGACTGCAATTATAGGGTAAAACTTAAGAGGGATAATTGGAATGTGAATCATTTTGACTTAAACCTAGCTGCCATTTTTGAAGGGAAAGAAATGACAGTTGTTAGAAGAAAGCTAAGTAAATGATTAGTAATACTTCACTCACCATAATTTGCTTGTCACTTTGTGCTAGTATAGGATGAATTATTCTGCCTGGAGTTAATGGTAATGTTCAGAGATCTGGAGAGAACAAACCACCACCCAGATCCCACCCACCTAAAAGTACAACAGCACATATCCTGTCAAGTGACACCCTTCTGAACTGGCTTATCTCATTTAAACTGACATCCTAATTATGTGGCATAAGGCTGGCTACATTATGTGGGTTATGTATTGCATTGGAAATGCTGGATCCACATACAGTTGCCATTGGATTTTAAATGGATACCATAAGTCCATGCTGACAAAGGACTTTGACTAAAGAGGAAGAAAGGACATTTTAAAAAACCTAACACCGTAGTCTGTAAAGATTCATCATTCAGTGGAACTTATTAAATCTTATCATTTATATGCATGTTTGTTGTGTTGTAACAGTAGTATTTATTGTGAACCTTGGCCTTAATGCCAGTTCTTGTGTGGTTTCAGTAATTAAACATGATGTGTAGTAACTTATAGGTAAATGCAAATTCAACTAGACAGGTATTTTCTTTCTATGGGTCTGATCAAGTCATCCAGTCTCTTTGTTGCTGGGCACATAGTTTCCTTAATTATTCTTTGGAGATACTTATTAAAAATGTATCCTGTATGTGTTTAAGATAACATATCGATTCATGTGATAGTCATCTATCAATGTATTATGAACTGTGAGTTGGGGGAGGGATGGGGAGCTAGTTAGTGCTAACTCTGTACTATTTCCTATATTATGAGGCCAGAAACGTATAACTGTAAAATGCAAAGCTCTGTACTTTGACTCTCAGTAAAAGAGGAAATAAGACTTGCAAACTCTGACTGTTGGCTGAAGAATCAGTGACAGCTGGTTGTTGTTTTTGTTTTGTTTTGTTTTTTAATGTAAAAACAAGTTTTTAATGTAAAAAAAATTCAAAAAAGCCCACAGTGTTGAGGGTGGGTATTCAGTGCCACGACCAAAGGCTGGTGGCTCTTGCCTACAAAAGGAGGTTTGGGACCAGGGCTAAACAACACGCACATGGGGTCTGGGCATGGCACATGAATGGCTCAGATGAGACGCACAATCACAGAATGGAATACTTGGAAGGACCCTCCGCAGCCACTTAGTTCAGCCCATCATGAAAGGAATCCATTACAGTAGCCAACACCCTCTGTTCGAAGACCTCTAGGAAGAGGAAAACCTCTCCCTCTTGAAGTGTCCCATTAAACTGTGAGATGGTTCTTCCTTAAATTTGCCTTTGTAACATCAGCCAGTGTTCTCGGTTCTGACCTCTGAGGCCAAACAGAACAAGTCCTTCCTCCATGTGATAGCTCTTTAAATATTGAAAGCTCACATGACTTTCTTGAGGCTTCTCTGCCCCAGGCTGAACACTTCCTTTTACTGATGATGAAACAGATTCAGGATCCTTCATTATCCAGGTTGACCTCTGAAAACTCTTCAACTTTTTAGTGTCCTTAAACAGAAGTTCCCAGAACTGAGCACAATATTTGTGGTGAAGCTGATCAGGGCAGAGTGCAGTGAGAATATGGCCTGTGTTTATTGGAAGTTCTATTCAGCATAGCCCAAGATCTCAATAGAGACAGTGGATTCTAAACCATTGGCTCCATAAATATGGACAATTATGAAGTCTGAGATAAGTGTAATTTCAAAGGTGGGAATTTGTTTTCAAGTTCATTGGAGATTAACTTAGTCTGTGTATTGTGAATACTGCAGCACTTTGGCTATTTTTAATGTGAAAAATTATTGGGCCTAAGGTGTACAGTGCAAGGTAGGAGAACATTTGATGGGGAGACAGCCAGCAAGCAACAAGTCTTTACTGTGTTCTAGATACACATTTCAGATCCTGGCTTCGTGACTTGAACAAGTCATTCAACACTTCCAGCCTCAGTGTGTTTACCTATAAAAGGAGAGAACTAAATGATCACTAAACCTCTTTCTTCTTGTAAGTCCTACAACCCTGCGGTCCAATTATTATACTGAAAGGATGACTCAGATGTGTTTACGCAGATTAATACTGTCTTTTATTGGCATTACCTTCTAGTATTAGCATGACATGTCCCTGTAGGTTTAAGCAGGTTCACTTTCTTAGGTGGAAAGGGGAGATTAGAACAGGAGGACTTGTATCAATGTCGTCAGTATCAGTATACAAAAAGGTGTGATTGATCAGTAGCCCCTTCCTGCCTAGAAGTGGTTTTACAAGAATCACACTGACTGGGCATTTGCATTTTATTTGATTATTTAATTAACCAAAATCTTACGTGGAAGTGTCATGAAAAAGTCAATGGGAAATTGCTCACTGAGATAAATCGTCTCACAGTTATGTAAGAAAGCAAAGGGAATAAGTGTGTTGCACCTACAGTGTGCTAGGCACTATGCTAGGAATTTTACAAATCTTATTTGATCCTTACAACAACACTGTGAAGTAAGTGGTATTATCCCCATTTTACAACTGAGGCAGAAGTGACTAGCCCAGGTTACACAGCTAGAGGCCAGATTTGAACTCAGGCTTTACTGACTCCTGGCCCAACCTGGCTGCCTGTAGAGAAGGGGCCAGCCATCCCCACCAACTGACAACCAGCTGCCACTCATAGGGCAAGCAAGCTAACCTAATTGAAGTAGCAAGCACCCTGGGGAAGAGATGGGAGCCAGACAGGTTAGACCACCACCACCTTGACCACCATCTTCCCTCAGCATGATGGAGGCACTCCAAGACCTTGAAACCACTAACCCTGAGAATGGCAATACTTTTAGCCTATACCCATAGCCATCATCTTGGTTAGCAACTCCTTTGGAGATCAGCTTAGCAATTACTCCTGCTGCAGGTGCTACAGCCACATCTATTGAAGACCCAGAAAAGCAAGTTACTGTCACCAAAGTTTTTGGCACTGTCATTTGGTTCAATATCAGAAACTGATGATTTTCGGTGGAAAATGGCATTAAAAAGAATTATCATTGTAGCTGCACCTTAAGGACCACGAGTCCTTTCCGTCTGCCTTACAGGTAAAACCTCCCAAATGTGTTATCTTCCCCCATTAGAGCTCCTTGAGAGCAGGAACTATTTTACTTTTCTATTTGTAAGCCCAGCACAGTGCTTTGCACATAGAAAACACTTAATAAATGCTTCATTTATTTATTCATAAATGTTATTACAGTGATGGGAACCTGCTCTTGTTCTCAAGTTCAACAGAGACCAAACCACTCCGTGTAAAATCTGTTTTAAAATATAAATTGTAGGACATACATCTAAACAGCTGTAATGTTTCAAAATGGGCCTTGTAATGTAATATAACATTTCAGAATTTGCCCTTGTAAATATGAGCAACTTTGTTATTTTACCTGCTGCTTTGAAAGCTCAGGTAAAGTTAGGTTGATAGTGACATTTTTAACTCCCAAGTTAAACAACAGAGTTCCAGTTACAATGAACCTAATTAACCCCTTTAAATGCCTTCCCCTTTCCTGTGTTGGCTCAGGAAATACCTCTTCCAAAAAAGTATTTATTCTGGCAATAGCAGCTACTGAGGAAATTACAGTTCCCTATAGTGACCAAGAATAAAATATTTTTCAAAGCGTCTGAATACTGTACTAAGAATGTTAGAGAAGGGGGCAGGCAGACATGGAAGGATAAATTGCTTGGCTTTGATAAGAAAGTCTTAAGTTGCTTCCATTCGCTATTTTTGAGGAAATTCTGGTTGGATTGAATAGTTGGAAGGGTCATTTAGCAAACTAGAAATTAATCCAAGATTTTAAAATTGAAAGTGTTGAGCTTGAATAAGCACACATTGTCTGAATAAAACAAAATCAATGTCTTTCTTCAGGGATTTAGAGCTGGAAGGTAATAGCAGCCATTTAGTCTAACCCATTTATTTTATAGGTAAGGAAGGTGAGGCACAGAGGTTAAGTAATCTGTCCCAAAGTTACACAAGTAAATGGCAATTCTGGGACTAGAACTCAGGATTTCAAAACCTGACATTTTTCCACTGCTCCATGCTGCACATAGATAGGACCATAGAACTTCGGAGTAGGAAGGAATCCTAAATTATGTGTAAATAGTACCTAGAATATAGATCCCATCTATGATATCCTGATCCAATAGTCAGCTCCTGTTTGAAGATTTCCAGTGATGGCTATTCACTACCTCTGGACACCCAGTCCATTTTAGGGTATTGCTAATCTCCTTACATTGAGTCACAACCTGCCTCTGTGTAGTTTTAACCCATCGGTTCCACTTCTGCCTTCTGAAGTTGTAAAGAATGTCTAATGCATCCTCTACATGACAACGCTTTGAGTATTTGAAGACTGGAAAAGAAATAATAAAGTACCTCCCAATACTTCTTCCCTAGGTTTTGTCTTCGTATTCCCAGGACCTACCATGGTGCCTTACACACAGTAGACAATAAATGCATTTTGAATGGTTGATGAAACAAGTTTTGGCCCAACCACCTCTGGCTTCTATGTTTTAAACTAAACAGGATCTGTCCTAATTAGATCAACATTATAAGCAAACCCTAGGGAAACTGTTACCCTGGAAACCAAAAATGCCTGTATTGAGGAACAGTTGCTATTGTGTCGTATGTGATATGACCTTAGGAGTTATGTTTAAAGGGTGATCTTATTTCATCTGAGATCCATGTTACTACTAATACAAGCTGGCTGTGGGAGAATCATTCTTCACATAAGGAGTCTGACTAAATGACTTCTCAAAACCCTCCAATTCTCTTTCCTGCTTCTTTCCCCTATCTTCTTAGGCAAATTTTCCAACCTTTCAGTGTTGTCATTATGAGTCTCTTCCAAGGACAAGAAATGTGTAGGGCAGAAGGAGATAAATAGGTTTACCAGCATTCAAACACACAAAGGGAGGTCGGTTTCTGCCCCTTTACTTATAGGGATGTCTGTTTTCTTTGATGAATCATGCCAAGTACTGTGGAGGATACACAATAAAGGAAAAGGCAGAGGCTCTAGTCTCAGGGAACAGATAGTCTTAAATGACAAAGTAGGATTAACAGCATTTAGAGGATCACTATTTTAGGGCTGAAATCTGTCAGCTCTAATCCAACCCCTTCATTTTACAGATGATGGAGTTGAGGTACAGAGATTAAATGATTTGCCAAAGCCACACAAGGTACAGCTAGTATCCAATTAGTGAGAATAATTTGCACTACATATTTCCATTGGGCTGGAAGCAATGAGCATATTTTATACATAATTACAACTTTGAGTACATGTGACCACTTCTGGTGGTTCATTATTTACACTAATCAGGAACTGCAGGTGATTAAATGGGAGAGACAAGATTTGAACCCAGGTTCTCAGAAGCCAAATCTAAGCACTTTTTTCTCCCTTTTCACAATACTGTGTATAAATACAACAGTAGTTCAGGCAAGTCATCAGTGTGGACTAGAGCAGTCCACAACAACGTGGGACTTTAAGTAATGGATAGGTGTCATTTAGACCAACAAAAGGGAGGAGCATTTAAGGTGGAGGAAGCTACAAGAACAAAGGCAGGACATAGAACATGCAGAGACGGTGACTGTACCAACCTGACAGAAAGGAGGTGGGGGGCATGGGCCTGATTTTCAAGATCCTCTACAATCTGTTTAACCATTTTATATTCCCAACCCTTTTAGCACATTGCTTTCTTCCACATATTCTATACTCTCGTCAAAATGGATTTCTTGCCATCCCCTACAGTACCAGATACCTTCCAGCATCCAAGCCTTTGCCCACACTCTCTTTGGTGCCTCCCATTCTATAAAGCCCAACTCAAATATACAGTTATCCCTTCCACATCACGACTTGCCCCATTTTGGTTTCAATATATCATTGGTTGGCATAAGAAATTAAATGGGAATTTTGGAGTTTTGTGGAAGCTACAGAGGACATGCAAAGGCCAGCAGATAACACAGAACCTATGACCAAATACTTAACTCAAATTTTACAATAAGGTACTGCAAACACCCCATAAAAGAAAAAGAAAAAATTCAGACTTCTCTGGTACAAAGGGAGGGCCAAAAAAATTTATGCAGATTTTCCAGATCACAGGAGCACTGCAACTCTAACCCCTTGCAATGTGGCATAACTGTATACACATAACTAGTGCCATATTTTTTAAATAAAATTCTTCTGTTCCCCCTCCCTGTCCAAGAAGCATGAATGAATTCTCCATGCATGGCATGTGCTTCTGTATAGAGAAAAAAAAGTAATGAATCTGTTTTAAACAAGTGAGTTTCTAATAGTTAAGTGGAAAGGAGGGTCCTGATTTCAGGCCTCCAAGAGGTTGTTGTTTGTCCTTCTCAAAGAAGACCATGACATCAGGGAGGTGACACCATGACATGCAAATGAATTGGATTAAAGTGAAGGAGAGCTGTGCAAGGTCACCAGCCTCAATTTCTCCTCCAGAGCCATCTGGGTCCAGTGGCCAGATATAGATCAGGAGGACTGGAGATGGCCCTGAACCGAGTACCAGGAAGCCAGAGCATTCAGAGAATGAACTATTAATACTGACTAGTCCAGTGTTTCAAACTGCACCCAGGTGTGCTTTTCCAAAGACTTAATTTGCCATTTCTAAGGAAGGAAAGGGGAAGCCGTGATCTGTCACTTAAAATTACAAAGCAATTAATCTAAGTTGGAAAAAATTAATCAGTTTTCTTTTGCCATCTACCCATCACTAAGAGTTCAAATCAACCATGTAACCATCTAATCCTGATCATTTTTTCATGTTATGTTAGTACTCACTGTCATGGCCATTCTGGAAAAGAAGAGAACTGTTCCAAACGTGGTTTCCTCCACTCTCTCCAACAAAACAATCTAACTTGATAATGCTTGTTGACTTATGGAGTGGTGATTTCTGATGTCTGAGAAACAGGCAATGGCAACCTCAATAACTGCTAACAATACTGCTTCCCTTATCAGCCACAATAACTGTTCCCTTCTTAGTAACTTTTCTGTTTGGGGGAAAAAAGGCTCATTTTGAGACTTTTCTTCTCCTCATCTCCACTTCCATTTGTTGCTACAGTTCAGAGTCCAATTAAATACCAGTACTAACAGACAATTCAGATAACAGATTTTTAAACCAAAGTTTTATTGAAAAGAATATTTTCATACAGTATCTTTCATGATCCTTTTAAAAAATACATTTGATGTTATGCTTTACATATTACTGTCTTCAAGTAGAAAGGGTGAAATATACCTTTATAGATTTATTCTATTGCACTTGAGCATAATTTCTTACTTCAGCACTTAAAAACCACATTAAAACATAGTCTTTAAAATCTGACATTTCCATATGCAATATTGGTTAGTACTGAAAGACTTGGTTAGATGCCCCATTCTTCACCGAAAACTCAAACCCTAATAAGAGGAAGCAGGGAGGTTATGTATTCTGCAGTTCAGTTTAAATGTCTACTGCCTGGAATGGTTTTGGCAACTTTTTATTCACAGTATTTCAGATGCAAAATATCCTACTCTGTAGCTGTTCACAAAATCCACACTAACTTGTGTGCACACGCATACTCACATCACACACACACACACACACACACACACACACACACACCCCACATAGCAACCAATTCACTGAGGTTTACTGCAGTTGGATCAAATGTAGACATGACTTATGAAAACTTAAGACCCACTACCTCTAATCTATCTAGAACAGAGTCACCAACCAGCCTGAAAAACACATGACATATAATAAGACAAAAAATTCCAGTAAGCACTAAAATCCATGGGAAAGTTTTCCTGTCATCAGAAAAGACTGGGAAGTTATAGAAGTGGCAGTATGTTGGAGCAGAGAACTTTAAGGCAGGGTGGCCACTGCAACCTAAGGTATTTGGAGGTAGAAGGAAGAGAATGAAAGTTAAAACAGATACATGATTTGTTATCTAAAAATTATTTTTAAGTGTAGAGCCTCCTTACTTCGAAGGAATTTGGTATCCAGATCAGTTTCCAACTTGATATGCTACAATCAAAAAGCCCTGTTTCTTTCAGATGTTGTGCTAAATATGTGTCATCAAACCTCACACAAATATGAGAATGCTCAACATAGAATGGAGACAAGGTTGACTTTGGAATGTGCTGTGAAAAATACCTAAGGTCAAGACATCGTAGATTTTGTAGCCCCAGTTCTACTAATTAGTTATGTGGCAATATATAAGACAAATAATGTCTTTCTCCTGCTTCCACATCATCTATTAAAAAGAAAAATCTACCTCACTGGAATACTTTAAGTCCAATTAAAATGATAATCTTTTAATTTGTGTAGAATACAACAGGAATGCTGAAAGAGTCTTTGTGCACTATGCTTATTACTTGTTCCCAACTTTAGGGCTGCCCTGCTATATATACTCATAATCCCTATTTATTCAACATTGAGCAGGTACCTTTATTAGGTATTTTTGTGCAAGCACTGTGTTAGGTTTGGCAGGCAACTCAGAAATGTAAAACATAGTTCCCTTCCTTCAAGGAACTTATGGTACAATACTTCCAAATACTATCATAATTAACAAATTAAAAAAAAACTTTCTGCATTTACAAGTAGTCTAAACATGGATATTATTTTTCTTATAAAATCAAATCACATAATTCTTTGTATAGCTCATCACTTTACAGAAAAGATTTAATCCTTAAAAGCTGAAGATAAAACAAAACTGTTCATATAAAATCTTATTTCAACATCTCTGTAAAATTGAATACCTGATCAGGAAAAGAAAAGGAATATCCTACTAAACTACGCTGAAGAATTTGGCAAGGAAGGGATTGTGATGGAGCTCCATTTATCCTTTCTGAGAGTTCCCATTAGCTGTCTACCTTATGACAGAATCCATGAAGTTAAACTACCCCTTACAGCAAAAGACAGCATTTACTATTTCAAGTAATCTATTTCTAGCCAGCAGTGAGCGGACTTTACTATAGACTAGACATTCAGGACAAGAAGGCCTAAGAACATAAACATCACTAAGGACAGGATCATGCAGGTGTAATTTGTCCCCAACATTAAAAATTTTGGCATGATAAATTCATAAAATGCTAATATATTTCACAGTTCCTGGGATCAAATTTCTTTGCAATTAGTGGAATTTTTTAATGGCCTCATGAAAATATGGCCAAAGACATTTTATCTAACATGAGCACTGAATTTCATTTCATTTCCCTGGTTATATTTTTAAATAAAATCAAGAAATACATTTAGATCACACAGTCTGTGCAAAAAAATTAGCTACCTAATAATCTATGTTGTTTGTTTTTATGTTGTTTTGATGGTAAAAATCTGAATCACTTAGTTTGCCAGGCTGTCTTAAAATAAATTCTTTGCGAATTTAAAATACTTTTGTTAAAAGAAAGTCTCACGGCAAAGTAGACAGACCAACAAAGGTCAAGGTCAGTTTAAAATACAAATTTATTTTGCAAAACATGGAGAATGATGATTAGCAGATAATTATGAGGAGTATTGCCTCACAAAACAGGGGAAAATGGACTATTCAGATCATCCCAGGAGCACTCACCTGTAAAACAGGCTGGATGACACATGAATATGCAACAGATTTGTTAATGCTTCTCTATTTGCCTCATCAATGATAGTGAAATGATCATATTTGGTACCTGATGCATTTTTATAAACAGAAGTGGAAATGGCACTTAAGGTAAATCAGGCAGAACAACTAGTGATGACAAAATAAACACACATGATTTTGAAGGCATCTAGGGATCAATTTTCAAAATCTTGAAGTCAGGAAGAAAAGAACTGGAAAAAAAAGTGCTAAAAGTACTTAACGAGATCATAGTCCTTTCTTGTCCAAATATCTCTTCTTGCTAGAAAAAGTCATCTATAATTCATCCAGTGATTCTATAATGTCATGAATGCTCAAGCCTGCATAACTGAGTACATACCTAAAGATAAGTGTATTTCTTCACTGAAGAATACCCTGGCTTTGCTATTTATTAGCTAAATGACTATGGTGGGCAAGGCCCTTAATCTCTCCAGGCCTTAGTTTTTTCACATATAGAGAGAGGTTGAATTAAATGATGTCTAAGGTCCCCTTCCAACTGTAAATCTATGTCAGTAAAACTAAAATGAGGTCATTTTTGAGTTACCCTTCTGTTTTCTAAAGCTCTAAAATGTAAGAAACTGAAACAAATAGAAATCTCAGTTTAGCTCTGAAGAGAAAACAAAGATATTTACCAAGGGAAATTATGATATGTAGAGATTCCATCATCTTTTGTATATGTTTTAAACTCTGAGGTTAAAAAAAAGGGCTAAAAAATTTTATGTCAGAATATCTAGCACTAATGTAACAAAAGATCCTCTAGTAAAAAAAAAAACAGCAATCCAAAGATCAAAATGAACCTCTGTTACTTGATACAGAGTCAAATTTCATTAAAGTGTTTTGCTTATACCATTTATTAGATTATGCCTTGGGGCAAATAAGCTCTTCCATTTATAAAATGATTTAGAATGTCTGGAAATAATGATATGCTGGGGAGGGAGCATGATGTAATGAAAAGACTACTGGATTGTCCCATCATAAGACTATAGATTTGCCACTAATAGCTGTATGACCTTGGGGAAGTAACTTTACCTCTCTGCCCTCTGTTCTCACATGTAAAATCTATTCTAGAAGATATTTCTATGATCTCTTTCAGCTCTGTAATTAGCAGTGAAATATTTTGTGTTTAGCTTTCTCAACACTTATCTTCCTATCCCATTTGTTTAAAAATATAGTGGTTTTATATGATTCTGCAATAAAAACCCTCTTGGGTTTTAACTAAGCTTGTTTTTTGAAGAATATGAAGACCCTTCAGGACACAAGGAAAAGCATAGTACCAAATGAGATCATACCAGCTTAACATGATAATAATGCCAAATACTCTTACACTACCCATTATATCTCCCAGAATGCTGCAGTCTCTTCCACCCAAGACAGTATGAGGGCTTGCCTACTTCTAGATAACAGATCGGACAAGAATCTGCATTTCAGGGTTAGCAAAAGCAGGAAGTTGTACATGTTAAATGTTTCATCTTCATTAACGCCATACTGATTTAAAAAAAAGTATACATAAATTTGTTTAAGGAAGTTCTATTACAAGGTAAACATTTCCTTAGCAATATAAAATTTTTTTTCAGTGAATGTTTTGTTTTGTAAAGTGTTAGCGAAATCTCAGTTTTACAAAAAATCTATTTTTGCAAAACTACAAAAGTTCTATAACCCAACAATAATTACTAATCTTTTCTCTAAAAGAGAAAACTAACAACATTATTTCTTGGCAAAATAATCTGAAGTAGCACACCTTTACCAAGAATGCTGTTAAATCAGTCACTCATGGAAAGAATAAGAAGGTGGCTGTCTTCCACTATACTTTAATACTATATACATTCATTTGAACTAATGCAGAAATTATTTATACCAATCTTGTGATTTCAGGCTCCTACTCTCAATGTAGAAGTAATGGTAAGAATTTTGTTCCTTAATCCAGTAGCTCTAAACTGTCATCAAATGGAAAATTTATAATACCATGCAATTTCTTAGGGTGCACTGTGAATACAATTTCATAAAGAGAAGCAGGTTTTTCTTCATTAAAAAGCAAACAGTGGCTCAGATTAGTATCTGTAAAAATCCTTCTTTCTGCTGAATAGCAGAAAGTGTACATAAAGACCACAATAATGAGCACCTGGCCCTTCTTTAAAACCCACACAACAATCATGCATATACCTACTTACAGAAAATCTCATTCTCCACATTGGAAATGTCTTACAAATTCTTCCATATTCAATTGTCTTAAGTCTTAAACTCCAGAATCTCTCAGTCATACTAATTCTGTCATTTTTCTATAATATGAACATTATTTCTGTGATACATTTAAAGAATAAATCAGAGTTTTCACAGGCTTAACAGTGGTTAGAAGATTAGAAAAGACTAATTATACCTGTCAAGTAAAAGCAGCAGGATCATGGGAATATATCTTTTCCTCACCCCTTTAAAAGATTCCAATGATTACTTCAGTTAAACTAGTTATAATTGCATTGATTCTTAGGTTCAGGAAATCTCTCTAGCAAGTCCTACAGCTCTGAAACTACTACTTAATTTACAACAAAAGAATATATATAAATGTACTTCATACCAATCAGTAGCAATAAATCCATAATTTAGTCAAGATAGACAATTTTCCTAATGATAATCTATTACTTGTTTTCTTTTCCTTACGTAGAAACCATTGCCATATTTGATGCACCATAAATGCTCACTTCTTGAGATTGTAGGTCAGAGACATGGAAATCAGATAATCAAATTATACCACAGTAGAAAATGAACATATTTTTTTCTGCTCCCAATGGAAAATTAAGAACTTGCTATTCACTAATATTCTCAAATATTCATTTTCTTCCTTTAGGATTTCTTAGCTATTTCAATTTTTAACATGAAATGAGAATTTAATTTATAAATAGAAAAAGAGTTATCCATTTCAGTATTCCTTCAAAAGTATCAATGCTCATCCTCTCAAATTAGATCCATAAGAGTGCCTGCCTTCACCTCTGCTTAAGATGCCTGTGTTAGGTCAAGTGCTAAACTCACCTCCCATGCTTTGTTTAGTCTCAGGATCGCCTCACTTCCATTTAGGAAACTGGTGACAATTCAATGAAATCCATCATTTTCAAGCCTCAGGGAGTTCCTGAAAGCAATTTTACGTATGCAAAGCTTTGCACAGGAAAACAAAGCTAAAAAAATCAGCATTTAAAAAACACAAATCATCACCTTTTCTCCCCACCCCTCACCAGGAGCCAGTAAGTATTCTTTCCCTTCATTTATTTACAAACTCCATAAAAATGGCAATGGGGAATCTAGGACTGCTTCCCACATACAGAAAGCAGTTTTATGAAAATCATTTGGAGACTAGCAGATGTTTAATTAAATCAAAACAGCCATTTGTACAACAGATGTATGTGCAAACCTTTGAAAACAATCCAAAAGAGTAATTTATGTGATAATGAATTTTTTTTTAAAAAAGTATTACCTTTTTATTTTGACAAGATAAAACAATAATGGGGAATTTTTATACATTTAAAACTATGCTTGAAGTACACAAAAATAAATTTAGTATACATCAGTAGCAAGAGTCTTATTTTGTACAAGTTACAGTATGTCCATAAAAAAAAAATAAAACCCCCTGACATTACATTTCTGTGCTGGCAAATATATTTTCTGAAGCAAAGGCACTTTGAAAACCCAATATGGTTTGGTTCATTAAGTTTGCAAAGTACAAACAATTTTACAAAAAACATATGATTATATTGAAGAATGTCAACAATGTGACATTACATACAAAACAGATTTCCTTTTTTAAACTTTTTTTCTTTTCTAATAACACTGGTTTGTGGGGAATGAGCTGTGGTTTCAGTAGCTTCAGAGAAGACATTACCAATGATCACTGGCCCACAATCTGAATTTCTACTGAAATAAAGATATGATAGTAGAAAAGAAAGAAAAAGAAACCTTTAAAAGAAAATGGTTTAGAAAGAGAGGGCACAAAAAACAAGACCAAAAGTCCAGGACAGATCCTTTTAATTTTGGCTCCTTAGAAGAGAACTCCTCCACTAGACCATAAAAGATGTGTCTACTTGGTCTTCATCTTGGGTTGTTGTAGTGGTGATGGCTCTATTTTATAAAAGATGAGGACACAATGTTTTAGATTGTACAGTACCAGAAACCTTTGGTCCAAAGAGCACAATTTCTGACAATTCATTACATGGCAGCAAAGTCAATCTGTACATAAAGTTGTCTTACTCCAGCCTGAAAAATTGTAAAAGAGAAAATCATTGGAAAATAGAACATGACAGAGATATATTATACAATTCACAAAATGGCAAGCAAAATCCTGCTGCTACATAGGTTCTAAGTGACAGGTAAGAATTGTTAAAAATATCGTAGAGAAGATTACTGTTCACCTACAGGCTTGGACTAGATGACCACTGAGGTCCCTTTCACCTCTAGGATCCCATAAATAATCTTCTCAGATCAGCTCCCACGGACTCAATTATCATGTCTTTGCAGATGACCCTTAGATCTATTTATCTAGCCCTAGCCTCTTTGCTCTGCCTTCTCTTCTAAGAGGAACATCAACCTGAAATATGAGTTATTTATAAAAGTTACCAATACCTACATGTAGGTACTGACAAAAGACCAAAATTGTGCATCTCAGCACGGCACCATGAAGTTCCCCTGGTCCTCTCATCTGTTTAGTCATTCTTTTGGGCAAACTGTATGCCTACTGCACATTGCTACCTAACAAAAATAATAATCATGATAACAATAACAACTAGCATTTATATGGCACTTACTGTATATGCCAGGCACTGTGCACTTTACAAACATCTCATTTGATCCTCACAATAACCCTGGGAGGTTGATGCCATTACCCCCATTTTACAGTTGAGAAAACTGAGACAAACAGAAGGTTAAGTGACTTGCCCAAGGTTACATAGCTACTAAGTACCTGAGGTCAAATCTGAATCCAAGTGTTCCCGACCCTATGCCAGGTACTCTTACCTACTTCACCACTAGCTGATATGGTCAGCTATCTGTACACCCTTTATGACCTGGTCCCATTGTATCTTTCCAGTCTCCTTTTATTTCTAGTGCTTTTCCTCTGTTAATTATTTTAATATTATTATTTATGCATTTTGTAGACAGATTGCTTGTACATATTTGTTTGCTTGTTTTCTCCCATATTAGATTGTGACCCCTCAAGACCAGAGACTATTTTTTGCCTTTCTTTGTATCCCTGATACTTAGCATAATGGCTGGCACATAAATACTTCCTGACTGACTGACCAGGCAGATACTTTTTATCATACTTTTAAAAAAGATCCTTCTATGCTTGCTATACTTTATACAGTTGTTGTTGTTTCAATATAAATAAGGACTGCTGTCCATCATCACATCCCCACCTCTCTCTACCAGATATCTAACCCTGAAGAGGAGCAAGAACAGTTTCAATGGGCAGGCTGGGACTGAACGCACATTTAGGCCTGGCCAAGCAATAAATCAACTCTGCTTAGCACTGGGGAAACAGGCACAAAGAATGAAACAATTCATACTTATAAAAAACTTACAGTCTACTAAGGGAGATAATAAGTATATATAAATATATATATATGCATATATAAAAATGCATGCAGCATAAATGTAAATAAATGAAAGTGAATAATACACAGGAAATGAATACACACAAAGTAGTTAATTCAGTACATGGTAGTTTGAGAAGGAAGAAAAGTTTAACATAGAAGATGGTGCCTGAACTACATTTAAAGGAAAAGACGGTCTTGAAAAGAGCAAAGCTAAGGAGGAAGTACAAGGGAATGACCAAAGCCAAATACATGAAGACAGGAAATGAGTGTCACATGGGGAGAATTATCAAGCAGCACATCTGTCTAGGGAGACGACTCCCCAATCCCCTACATACCACTCTTCTCTACCAGCCACCCCTGAGAAAATATCAAACCCAGGCCCTGCTAACCAGCTCCACCAGCAACAGCCCTTGAGGATTGTAAGCATCATTATTCATCTGCTGCCCACTATTATCTCTGTAGATTTTCCTCTTTCTTTCCCTAACCTATACCAATAAATCATATTAATTTAGGAGGAAACTCTTTGCAAACCTTTCCTCTTATTCTTTCATCCTCATCCTCCTCAATCCTACCCTACCCGTGTTGGCTTCCACTTCAGCCCTCTCTGAGGATACTGCATCCCAGCTGTCTTCTCTAGCACAGGCTATACTTTCCCTTATACAGCTAGATATTATGGCCCTAAAGGGACAATCAGAATACTCCTTGTGCCACAATGCCACTTTCTGACTCACTCAGCAATCTTTGACATCCACTCAATAAAAATTATAGGGGCTGTAGTATTGGGCTGACCCCAATTCTCCCTCCTTTGTCAAGGAATTCAGCACTTGGCTCACCATCATTCTCTGCTTTCCAACTGGCCCTTAAACTAAAGGACTTTAATATCTGTGTAGATGAGCTGCTGACTACCTATTCCTCAAAGCCCTCAAATGCCACAACTTGGTCCTTTATTCCACCTCAGCTACACAGAGTGATAGTCACCTACTAAATTGTAATACTGACCTCCTGTTCTATCACTATGTTTCACTTTCTGTGCCTTAGCCTAAGGCTACTACCATCATCTGCCTTCCCCATTCCCGTTTAGATGCTTCTTAATAGAGAAGGGAGAAGCCACACAAATGTGATGACAGGGTACATTAAAAATCCACTATTCGGGTAGTTTTCAGATGAAGAAATTAAAACTATCTATAGTCAGATGAAAAAATGCTCTAAATCACTATTGATTAGAAATGCAAATCAAAACAACCCTGAAGTACCACATCACACCTATCAGACTGGCTAACATGACAAAACAGGAAAATAATAAATGTTGGAGATGTGGGAAAATTAGAACACTAATGCATTCATTGTTGGTGGAATTGTGAACTGATCCAACCATTCTGGAGAGCAATTTGGAACTATGTTCTAAAGGCTATAAAAACGTGCATACCCTTTGACCCAACAATGGCACTTCTAGGGCTATATCCCAAAGAGATCATAAACATGGGAAAAGGACCCACAGGTACAAAAATATTTGTAGCAGCTCTTGTTGTGGTGGCCAAGAATTGGAAACTGAAGGGATGCCCATCAACTGGGGAATGGCTGAACAAGTTGTGGTATCTGAATATAATGGAATACTACTGTGCTATAAGAAATCAGGAGCAGACTTCAGAAAAACCTGGAAAAACTTATATGAACTGATGCTGAGTGAAGTCAGCCACATTGTGCGATGCAAACTTTCATCGACTTGGCTCTTCTCAGCAATGCAGGGATCTAAGACAATCCAAGATTCATGACGGAAAATGCTGTCCACATCCAGAGAAAGAACTATGGCGTCTGAATGCAGACTGAAACATACTATTTGCTCTCTCTTTTTGTTACTGTTGTTTTGTTTCTTCTTTCTCATGGTTCCTCCTTTTGGTTCTAATTCTTCTTTACAACATGACTAATGTGAAGATGTTTAACAGGAATGTATATGTGGAGCCTATATCAGATTGCATGCCATTTTGGGGAGGGATGAGGGGAAGAAGGGAAGGTGAGAAAATTTAAAACTCAAAAGCTTATGGAAGTGACTAAATAAATTTTTTTTAATTAAAAAAACCCTAAAATTTAATTAATTTTTTAAAATCCAAATTATTCTACTTTAACTAGGCTCTCAGGGCAGCAAGGGAATCCTTTTAAACTTCCCTAATTGAACACCTATCTCATGCTCCACAAATACTATTTTAAACTTTCTTTTCTCTCAGGTCCCTAGCCATGCTCTTGCCCCTCTCTCTTAGCTGAGAACTTCTTGTCTTTTTTACTTTAGTAAAAAAACTGAAGCCATTAGATGTGTTTCCCTTTGACCCATTCTGTTCACCTCAAAAGCACCTGACATCATCTTCTACTGGTTCCTCTTTTTTCCCAATCACTGACAGAGAAATGATCCTTCTTGCTAAGGCCAACCCTTCTATATATACTGTAAACTGCAGTTGTTTCCTGTTGCCTCTGGGATAAAAGACAAATTCCTCTGTTTAGGTTTTTAAAGCCCTAGATAACCTGGCCCTCTGTTTTCAACCCCAATGCACACACAGTCTGCCACCCACACTCTGAAATCCAGCCCATTTGGCTTTTTCTATTCCACAAACATAACACACTATCTCCTGTATCCACACCTTTGCAGCTGCTATCTTCCACAAGCCTGGAATGTAATCCCTCCTTACGTCTGCCTTATAGAGTATATCTCTTCTTTTAAGAATTATCTTAAGCAAAAACTTCTAAATGAAGCTTTTCTTGATATTCCCAACTGCTAGCACCCTCTCTTCCAAACTACTTTGTATTTACATTGTGTATATTTGTATCTCTTCATTTTATAGTTAAGCTGAATATATATATATAATCGTTGTCCCCAGCACTCAGAACAGTGTCTGGCACACAGCAGACACTTAATGATATTTGTTGATAATTATATTTTGTCAAAGACTTTTTTCTGCATCTATTGACATAACAACAGGGTCTGAGATGCTTTTATTTTTAACATAATTAGTTGCAATGCTTTTCTAATGTTGACCCATCCTTGCATCTCTGTGATAAATTCTACTTCATCAAAATGAATGATTTTCTGAATCAAGTCTTTTTGCTAGGATTTTGTTTGAAAAATTTTAACCAATACTTGCTGATCTACGGCTATAGTTCTCTTTACTTTAGTGTTTTCCTTCTCGACTTCTAAAAATAATTTGAGTAGTATAGGTATTGATTTTTTCTTAAAAATCTGATGGAATCTTCCTGTAAATTTTTTTTATAAAAAAAGTTATATTGGCAGATTTTTCCCCAATGCATGAAAAGATGAGGAATGTAGTTGCATTCTCAAAGAATGTAAACAGAACCTTTGTTCTTGCTTTATGTATAACTGAAAATGTTCTAGATATATGGCTGTGATCTCCAAAATGAGTGTTTCTAATCACCATTTTTTTTGGTTTTTTGTTTTTTGGCAAGGCAATCAGAGTGAAGTGACCCGCCCAGGGTCCCACAGCTAGTAAGTGTCAAGTGTCCAAAGTCATATTTGAACTCAGGTCCTCTTGACTCCAGGACCAGTGCTCTATCTAGCACACCACCTAGCTGCCCCTTCAATCACCTATTACAAATGACTGGTTTATGGAATTATTAAAGAATCAGAAAACTTCAGGCAGAACAGAACTTGGCAGCCATCTAGTCCAAACAGCAGCTGAAAAAGAATCCTTTTAGCTACAGTTTTTCCCAGATGCTGCAGACCATCTTTTTTGGGAGACAGAAAAAGATAAATTAGGGAATTTTAAATATATCCATGTTATGGAAGCTGCTTCTTCTGCCTCCCATAGTGCCACAAAAGGCTGACTTTGCCACAAGCAGGCCTGGTATTATGTTTCATGTGAATTATTAAGTCTTTGAGAAGAGAAGGATTGTGAAGGGGGATTTCTGGGAAAAAGTATACATCTTTCTGGGCACCAATGATAGAGGAGGTAGGGATTTTGACACTGGGCCTGCTCTTGCTTCTACTCTTGCCTTCCTCTAGTTTATTTAAATCAAAGCTAGTTGCCTAACAAAGAGTTCCTATTAAAAACACTTGAGAGTATAGGTATAAAAGGATTTTTCCTTAAAATGAAAAGAAGCATCTACCTAAAATCAACAGCAAGCATTGTAATAGGGATAAGCTAAAAACCTTCCCAATAGGATCAGGAACAAAACAAGGATGCCCATTATCACCAATATTATTCAATATTGTATTAGAAATATTAGCAATAGCAATCACAGAAGAAAAAGAAATGGAAAGAATCATAATGGGTAATGAGGTAATAAAACTATCTCTTTTTGCACATAATATGATGATATATTTGGAAAATCCTAGAGATTCAACTAAAAAGCAAGTTGAAACAACAATTTTAGCACAGTAGAAGGATATTAAAACATACCCACATAAAACCTCAGCATTTCTATATATCACCAATGAAACCCCATGATGAGAGATAGTAAGAGATACCTCATTTAAAATAACCACAGACAGCATAAATACCTAGCAATGAGCTACACTTTCTAAAATGATGACAGTCGTTTTATAAGCAAGAACTTCACTGAACTGTTACAGAATTCTGTCTCCATCAGGAGAGGGTTGTGGTAGTCATCTAGTCTATTTGGCGTCTGAGAATTCCCTTTATAGTCCTTTCTCTGGGGAAAAAGAGGAAAGTGAATATTTTCATGGTTCCAGCAGTACCACTGGGTCACAGTGTTTCACCTTTATGAATTTATATATTATGTCATTTGGTGTACATTTTTATTATTGATTCATTGTCTATGTTTTCTTGAATCATAATATAAATCTCTTGTTTAATGATATAGTGAATTTTTATTTTTGTCTTGTAGAATGATTGCAACTACTGCTTTTTTAATTCACCTGATGCTGAGTAAGTTGTGCTTCGGTCTCTCATTTTGATTCATTATGTCTTTGCTTTTTTTGAGGTTCTTCATGAGAAACCAGATTGTGAGGTTTTGTTTTCTTGTCCGTTCTGCCACTCTGTCCTTTCATTGGACTATTTATTGTCTATTCATATTTAAAGTTAAGAGAGTTGCGCTTCCGTGCTCCTCCACTTTGTTTCTTCAATAACAAATTTTTATTGATGCTTGTTTTTTGATTATTATATATATTATATATAATTATTATATATATTATAATTATTATAGTTTTCCCCAGTAGACCTCTCCTTCCCAGACAGCTAATCCCTATAACAAATAGTACTTATAAAGACAAAAGAAAAAAAAAGGGAAAAAAAACAGTGTAATATATTGATAAATTAAAAAGTCCAAAAACATGTGCAATGTATAACACTTGTGGACTTCCCATAGTTTGGTGGTGTCCTCTCATATTTCTTCACCTGAGTCATGACTGACCTTTATAATTTTATTACATTCACTTCTGATTTTTGTGTATGTGTGTAGTTGCCCTTTCCATTTACATTGCTGTAGTCATTAAGTGTACTGTTTTCTTGGCTCTCCTTACTTCACTCTGCATCAGTTCATACAGATCATTCCATGTTTCTCTATTCATCACATTCATCATTTCTTAGATTCCATTACATTCACATGTCAGTTTTTTTTTAAGCCATTCCCCAGTTGATGGTCATCTACATTGTTTCCAATATTTTATTATCATAAAAAATGCTGCTATAAACATTTTGGTGTATATAAGGACTTGCTTCTTATATTGGGGTATAAGCCCAGTAATGGAGTCTCTGGCTCAAAGATTATGGACATTTTCATCACTTAATTTGTCCAAGTTTAAACTGCCTTCCAAAATCGGTGTACTATCTCACAATTCCACCAACAACATATCAGTGTGCCTATCATCCCACAACCTCTCTGACACTGACTATTTGCCATTTTTGTCCTCTTTGCCAATTTGCAGGGAATGAGGTAAAACCTCAGGTTTGTTTGGACCTGCATTTCTCTTATTATTAGCAATTTAGAGCATTCTTCCATGTAGTTATGAATACAGCCTCCTAGAGTGTTGGGAGATAAAGAGTTCACCAGCCTGGGTACCTGTTTAAAGTAACTTCTGGGAAGAAAGGCTGGCCCCAATTAGGTTTCAGTCTCCTTTTCTCAAGGCTATACCTACACATCACATACAGTGATCTCTGTTTTCAGTGGTTCCTTTGGCTGACCCTTCATTTTTATGGCTGGACTGAATCAATGTCTGCACATTTTTCATGGTTAGGGGAGGGCAAGGAGAGTGTTTCAACAAGAGTTCTATAGTTTTGTAGCTACAGCCAGGTCCCCAAATGAAAGACAGAACATTTTCAGCTTCACCCTTCCTTCTTCACTGGCTGGGCAGTCACTTTTGCCAGTTATTGTGGGACGGCAGATAGGGAGAAAGCGTGGTACACCAGCAGAGGCTCTGGTGTGTGGGTGGGTGGGCTCCAAGCACAACGCCACACATTTACTTTGTGTCTCTGTCAGGGACTCATGGAATTGATAGAGAAAGGGCACTGACTGACTGTATGAATGAATAAAACTCCCTAGTATCAATAAGGATTTTATCTTGGCAAGGCTCTCTCCTTTTTCCTGTGGACTAAGCTCTGTGTGTATGTGTGTGTTTGTGTGTATGGGGGGAGAAAGGGAGAGGAGGGAATGGTTCTTCTTTGGGCATAGGGCAAGAGAGGCCAGAGTCTAGAGAAAATGACTAATCAGCTGTATTACTGACTGACCAGATATCCCAGAAATCTCAAACGCTTTTTTTCTAAATGAACAAACAATAATCACACTGGGATCTTACTGTCTCTTATCTTTCATTCAAATATGTGGTAAAGATTAAGTCTACTATGGAAGATTGCTTGTGAAAGTCTACATGTACCCTAATAATGCCCTTACCAAAAATGATTTTGATGCATGTGCTATGTTGATAATACTCACAAAATTTTTATATAAATAGGAGAATAGGCATATAGGTTGTTAGCTACTGAAGTTCTCTCACTCAACTTGATTCAGGATAATAAAGTATAAGATTTTTTCCATGCCTTTGGTATCTTCCCCTCCTTCAGATAACTAAACGCCTCCCAAATGTCATCCTCAGCACAGGTTTCCTCTATGTACACTTGTTCTAATCCAGCTGATTTTCCTGACTTTGTCCTCTTTATTGGTATTTCTATCTCCTCTGTAATCCCATAAAGGACTGTGATATAAGTGTCCCGAGGGTGATGACTCTATTGTCCTGGGTAGTGAAAATGATGTATTAGTTAGTTAATAGATAATAAGCATTTACTACATGCTTATTATATGTGAGACATTGGCTAAGTACAAAGAAGAGCAAAAACAATATTTGTTCTCAAGAAGCTGACATTCTTAGGGTTAATTTACTTGCCCAGGGTCAAAGAGCTAGGAAGTGTTAAGTGTCTGAAGCCAGATTTGAACTCAGGTTCTCCTGACTGCAGGCCTCTATCCACTGTGTCACCTAGCTGCCCCAGGAGCTGACATTCTAATGGGGGAGTCACAACATGAAAACAACCAATCTCAATGGGAAGATATTGGCACTAAGGAGAACCAGGAAAGACCTTTCAGAAGGTGGAATTTTAGCTGATATTTAAAGAAAGCTAGCAAAGCCAAAAGGCAGAGGTGAAGAAAGAGAGAATTTTAGCACAGAATTTCAGAGTAAGTGAAAAGGCATGGAATCAGCAGATGGTATGTTTTGCTAGAGGTACAGCAAGGAGGCCAGTAAAACTGGATGATGCAATCAAATAAGATAATATATATAAAGTATGTAGCACATAGTAGGCACCGTATAAATGCTTATCCCCTCCCCTCCAAACCTTCTCCTTTCCCTATGTAGTATTTGCAAGGGAGGAAAATGTAAGAAGACTGCAAAAGTAAGAAGGGGCCAGGTTGTGAAGGATTTTAAAAGTCACAGAGGATTTTGTATTTGCTTTAGAAGGTAATATGGAGTTTTATGAGTTGAAAGAAAGAGAGAGTGACATGGTCAGATCTGTGTTTTAGGAAGATGACTTTGGTAGGTAAGTGGAGGATGGATTGGAATGGAGAGAAATTTGAGGTGGGGAGACCAACCAGAAGGCTGTTGCAATAGTCCACATATGAAGGGATGAGGATCTATATCAGGAAGATAGAGATGGCAAAGGAAGAATCCATAAGACTTGGTAACAGGTTGGATAATGGCATATGAGAGAGAGTTAAAAAGTAAAAGATGACAAGTTTATGAGGCTACCACCATTTAACAAATTAATAAACCGAGGATAGAGAACTTAAATAACCGGCGTAAATGACACAAGACTACCAAGTGTCAGAAAGAGGGTTTGAACCCAATCAAAATTCAGCACTCTACTCAATATATCATGCTGCTTCACCTTTATCCATTTAAAAAGTGGCCCATTTTTTTCCTGTCAAAATATGTTTTTATAATGTTTAGAGTAACAAAATTAAACCTGTGCTTGGAGAATGTATTTTCATAATATAATTTCCTCAAGTACTACAAATCTAAGAATTAAACAATACTTTCTATAAACTATAAACTACAGAGAAATCCCCACAATCAAAATCTGTGTCAGGAAAATACATAATATTCAGCTGATATATGCAATAAATAAAAATAATCTCAAAATTCTGCCAATAATAAAGTGAAGAATAGCCATACCTGAGTAAAAATATTGTGAGTCTGGCTTAAAATCCACCTTGAATCAGCATCAGGTGCAACTACTAATTTCAAGGTCCCAACATACACATCAGAACAAAGAGTCCAAAAATGCTGCTCTTGTAAATGATAAACTCCTTGCAACTGCAGAACCTAGAATACAAGGTGCAGATACAATCATTATCAACTATGCAGAAATTACTATACTTCATCAGAAAAATAAAATGAAATGTAAATGGAATGGTATCACACATGTCACATGAAATCATATTTTCACAAAAGTACCATCACATAAATTTACTAAAATCTATCCATTGTTAAGACTACCTATGTTTCTCTGGACAAAACATGAAAAATATGCCTTAATGCTTTATGAGGAGAGCAAGACAAAGATATGACACTCAAGTTACATTAAATATTAATTATGACAACTCTTAAGTACCCAGGTCACCCACAAGATCTGAAATTTTTTAATCTCAAACTGGGTTTCCCTTAAAACCATACTGATATGAGACCTACTTCCTCTACACTATGATGATACTGCAAAATAATTGACCAACTCAATATACTAGGAAGTAAGTCTTACTAAGCATATACTGCATTCAAAAGCCACCAACCATTTTAGTAATCTTCATGGGCAGGAAACCTTTAGATTCATGGCATCTAATACAATGCCTTGCTCATAATAAATAGTAACTTTGTTCAAAGTGATTTTAACTGATTTTATATATATTTTTAAATTTCTTGCAGTCAGTGTATAGCTAACCAGCTCATTGTAACTAAATTTGGGTCAAGAAAATATAAACATTTTACATCTAAATTAAATAGTTGTTTTTGTTCCCACAAAGCATCTTCAAATAGATTATTTCATTTAATCTTCACCACAATCCGTAGGTAAGCAGGACAAGTACTCTAATTCTCATTTTACAGATGAGAAAACTAAAGCCCAAGGAGATTAAATGATAATATAATTTTAGACAAGTAACAACTAAGAGTGTAGACTAGAACCATGGCTACTAGGTCAGCTGCCTTCTTTCTCTGGAAACAGGCAGCTACAAATTCCACTCACCACTTTATTTCATCATTTGAAATATAATTTTTTTTCAGAAAATATATATCAGTGTTGTTATAGCAATTAAGGGGGTAAGAAAATGGACCCACAGAAATAAGGGTAAAGGTAGGATAGAGCTGAATAGTTGTGGGCTTAGGCCCAAGAAGCATGGGCCTCAATAGTATTTAGAAATAATAACTCTGCTAGCTTTAGTTTTATCATTTATAAATGTATAGCCTCGTTATTTTGAACATGTTTTCCCTAGGAACTATCAGTATAGACATGATTAATCATTGAAACAGAGATTTAGTAGAATTCACAGAATATCAACAAGAAGAAACCAGCAGGGACCAGGTAAGAGTAACAAGGAGATGAACTAAGGCACTGACAAACAAGTACAATAAAACTTAATAGCATCACAGTTTACTCCTGAAGCTTAGATTGGGCATGTACAATTCTATGTTAATATATAGCAATACTATTGTGATTAGGATAAAAAAACAATAGTAGAGTAATACAACAGTATAGAGTAATAAAGCAGTGGACTTGAAATCAAACCATCTAGATGAGAAACCCATCTCTACTACTTACCAGCTATATAAGCATATTAATAAGTCACTTGACATATTTAGGCCTGTTACTTAACCTGTAAACTGAGGATGTGGGATTAAAGAATTTCTTAAATCCCTCCTAGTTCTAAACAGTCCGGTCTAATCAATGTATCCTAAAATCACAATCACTTTTTTAACAGTCACATAACACTGCTGACTAATACTGAGATTGCAATTTGCTGAAGCCCCCAGGTTTTTTCCACATAAACTATTTCCTATCAATGTATCTATGCCCCATCCTCTACTGATATGAACAAATTTATGAAACCAAGTTTAAGACCTCACATATATCCCAACTAAATTATTAGCTTTAGCCCACAATTTCAATTTGTTGAGATTTTTGTGTATCTCAATTTTTAGTAGCTTTTTTCCAGTTTTGTATGATATACAAATTTTCTAAATTTTTTAGATTTAAGCAGTATGCAATATTACATTTTCTTCTTCAAATGCTGTTTAAAAGATGCTCACTTTATGATCATTCATTTTCCAGGTTCTGTAAGGCAGAGCTGGCTCAGACCTTACAATGAGTCAAGTATGTGGTACAGTGAAGAATGGTAGATTTTTATCGAGGGATCCAAGTTCAAAGCCCAACTCTGCCATTTACTACCTGTGTAAACCTGTACAAGGCACTTAGCCTCTCCGGGCCTCAGTTGCTTCTTATGTACAACGAAGGGATTAAACTGGATAATAAAGGATAAAAAAGAAAATCTAAAGTGCAAGTGTGTTCTAAACTCTAAATCTATGATCCTACAACACTGTGATCATGACAAGTGTTATAGGCAAAATAAAGTTTGACTCTGCCTCTGGGGAAAAGGGAATCCTAACGTAGTCTTGTTTTTCATGAACTAAGGGGCAATTTCTTTTAGAACTGGTGTCAACATTTTTCAGATTCCACATTTTGAGTGGACAGTCGTTCAGTCGTTTTAGTCATGTCTAACTCTCTGGGACCCATTTGGGGTTTTCTTGGCAAAGGTACTGTAGTGGTTTGCCATTTCCTTCTCTACCTCATTTTACAGATGAAGAAGTGACGGAAGTAAGGGTTGCATGATTTTCCCAGGGTCACACAGCTAGTGAGTGTCTGAGGCCAGATCTGAACTTGGGAAGATGAGTCTTCCTGACTCCAGGCCCAGCACTCTATCCACTGCACCATTTAGCTGCCCAGGGTAGACAAGTAGCTAAAGAAAAAACTAAGTTTGAGAAGGATCTTTATGTAAATTTGAGGACAACATCCACAACTCAACAAATAGTTCAAATAAGCAAATGTTTATTAGGTACATGATTAAGTAAGACAATGGGCTAGCAGCTGAAAAGACAATCTCTACCCTTAAGAAGCTTATATTCTTAAGACGTTTGCATTATATCTTTTTATTATGCAATACTCAATTTTAAAATCTTTAAAAAGTGTTCCATTATTCTAACAAAATAAGAAAAAAAGCTCAGAGTTCCAGCTAAATTATATTTCACAACATTTTCTTTAGCAATTAAAAAAAATTTTTTTTAACTTGTTCAGAGTTAATGGCCATAAGTCATGATTCAATCCCGGACTTTAAAAAAAACCACTATATCCAAGCATATGCTCACCAAAAATTCAATACTTAAAAAACAAACACATTAAAAACCTCAGGAGTTTGGATCTTCACAAAACTCAAGAGGTCTGGAAGTTTTACAGCTTACCCTCTGATAGCACTGAGGCAGAGCACTTTCCAGTGACGGAGGTGTTCGCTGCATCAATATTCCAATTGATTCTCTTAACAGAGGAATAACACTAAGGGAAAAAAGATGATAAACTAGGTACACCAACTTTGTCAAAATACATTGCTGTTTCCTATGATGAAAAACAACTACAAATACATATATACACTTTTTATTACAAGAAACAAATACCCAATATTCACTGTTTCAAACTTCTTGAAGTAACCAGGAAAGTATTCTCTAAGGCACATTCTAGACAACTAGAGAACAAATCCATATCAATGTCACTTTAAGAATGTAAAACATATTTAAATCTCAAATTTGTGAAAAATTAATACATTAGAATCAAACAAACTTCTTTTTAGGACTATGATTTAATGCATCTGTAATGAAGCAGATTTTCAATTAAAATATGAAAAATGAACAAAATGGCAGAGACACCATGGCAGCTGGTTCTTAATATTTAATAAATACTCATGTATACAGCAATGTATCCGAAACCTATATGAACAAGAGAGTCATCCTATCCACTAATATATGTGTGTGTGTATAGTATGTATATATATATATATATATATATATATATATATATATATATATATATATATATATATATATATATATACATACACACATATATATATACACACACACACACACACACACACACACACACATATATATATATATATATATATATATATTAAAGACTAGCATAGCAAACAAGTCATTTTTACAGAAAACAGTTAAGTAACAATATGACAAAGGGTCAAAATGGGTGAAAGGACAATAAGTGCTAAACTCAGCTCTAATACTCTTAAGCTGGTATGGCCTGAATTCCCTTGAAGTAGAGTCCAAGGAGAGAAGGGGAAATACCTAAAGAACCTATCTGCCTATTGTCTTACTCCTACTGGGACTCCAGTGCCCAACTAATGAAGACAGACACAACTATCCAAAGGCAAGGGCTGACCTAGATAGAAATCAGAAAAATTCAGGAAATAGTTATTATCTTAATGTGGCTTGGGTCAGTTAAAAAAAAAAGGCCTTATTCTTGGGTTAAAACTGGGTCTTAAAGGATATGGACAGTGAGAAAAGAGAAAGAGGTGCATTTCAGTTCAGTTAAAATAGTTTGAGCGAAGGCCTGGAGTCAGGATGTCTTCCAGAAATATAATGAAATGAAACACATATCCCCATCATCCCGTCAGTTACTGGAGTTGTTCCAAAGATGCTTTCAAAGCCTATATAAGATGAGCTTACATTCAAGACTTATGTTCAAGTACAAAAAGCAGTCATTTTTTCTAACTGTACAGTGTCCAGAGAACATTAAAGGTAAAACAGTAATAGCACAATAGTGAGTGATCATTCCAAGACTGTTTCCACCTGATTTCCTCTGAACTCAGATGAGACAAATGAGATAATAACACCTTCCCAGAGAAAACAGCAAAGACTAACAATAGTTATGCAACCTTATTCCTCAACTAAAACTACTTTCTAGAAGCTTAATCTGAAACTCTTTTCTCAGTCCCCATGCTTCTCAATATATCTGATACATTTGGCAGCACTGCCTATCCTCTGCTCCTGGAACTCTTTCCTCTCTGGTTTTTCATGACACAACTCTCTCTTGGTTCTTTGTCTAACTATCTGACAGCTCCTTCTCATCCACCTTTGCTGGTTCATCATTCATCACACCCCCTAACTGTGGGTGTTCCCCAAGGTTCTGTCATAGACCCTACCCTCTTCCTTCTCTGCAAACTCTAAGTAAACTTTACAGCTCTAATGGCTTAAGCTATAAGCAAGAGAGAGGAAGCAGTGAGTGCCACTGCCCTCTATGACAGCAATTTTATCCCGTGATCAAATAGGTCATGATTCTATCTTCCATAAATTTACCTAAATGCTTCTTGTGAAATTATTTTAAATTACAGCCTAGGGAATTTCCTAGGATGAAGAAGTTCATGTTTGCTACCCTCGGTGAAAAGGGGAAGATGTAAATGGTAGATTAGTAAATAGGCAGTGAGAGATATTAACCAACAATGGACATCAATAAAATACTTCCTTAAAATATGCAAGGGGAGAAAAGTACAAACAGGGAGCCAAACAAACATAGCAATTGTATGTAAATGCACATATACATATATGTATACATATGTTTACATAACATTTATCATAAACAAATTATATACAGGGGAGGTTCAGCATAAATAGGGAGCCAAAATAACATAGCAGTTTTGTTACCCTGTATAGGAGACTTTTTATGTTTATTAATGATTTCAGTTCAAAATAAAATATTTTTAAGCAAGAAATTATATCTCCTTTTACTTTGTTATAAAATTCCAACTGTCAATGAATACCCACCAGTTCTAGTAGTTTCAACATTGGTAAACAATTAATATGATTTCTTTAGCTGCAGGAATTTTCTTAAGTGTTAGAAGTGATCATTCAGCCACATTATCCAATGCAGGAATCATAACATATAAGCAATTAATAATTATAAAAAATCAAAGCCCCAAACATTTGTTATTAGCATAAATGTTTATTGAAAAAAATGCATGATATTTTGTCTGAACAGATTTATATAGTAAGAAAGTATGGTACTATCCAGCAAGAGTTATTTATTTTGCTCAGGTTTTTATTTTAAAGAATGATTTTTCTACAATATGAAATTTAAAATGGTTGCCTGTTTAGACATGTTACTATGAAATACAGCCAACAGCAGCAACCACCTTGCTGAGGTACAAGGATGCATCATATTAATTTCTTCAGCAATAGCTTTGCAAATTTGCAAGAATTTCAACTGTGAAATATGGAATAGACTCTGCAACTAGGTCATAAGACTGTGGGGGGAAGCGGACATGTATTTGATAAATCGTAAAATGAAATTCAATTCAGAATCATATTCTACTTCTACAGTAATTGAAATGGCCATCTGAAAATTTTTTAAATGTATAAAAATTTGGGGGTTTTGCTTTTTAAAATTAAGTCAATGGCTTGAAGATAGTTTCCCAATGAAGATAATATGCGATTCATAAAACAGAGTTTGCATGGGTTCCATCTAGCCATAATGAAAGGATCTATGAAAAATGGCAAGCTTTGCAAATTCCTGATGTTCACTAAGGCTTATAGTCTAATCCAAGCCTAAACAGTAAACATTTGGAAACTATTAGAGGTTCTCTTCTCTGGCTAACTACCCAGTTTTAAAGTAAAAATAAGGTTTTTTGCTGATAAAAAAGAAAAATTTCGTAAGGTGAAGAAATTCTCAGCAAAACAGGAGTTCATTCTTCAACAGCTGGTGATATCACTACCTGATCCCTTTAGATAAATGCCTTATTTAAACCACTTATTTATTGAGGAGTGTCTTTTCGTCTTATCCAATGTCAATATATTCTCTCTCTCTCAATATATCCATCAATCTGCTATCTATATTTATATTTATACATTTATGTTCATATAGATAGATAAACCTGGATATCAAACTATTTACAGTGCTATACTAATAATAATAGTTAACAGTTGGCTTACAAAGAACTATATATATATATATATGTGTGTGTGTGTGTGTGTGTGTGTGTGTGTGTGTGTGTGTGTGCATATATATGTATAGAGGGTGAAATGCCTATATAAATATCTATATCTATCTTACTTCATCCTCATAACTATGCAAAGTATGTGCTATTACACAATTTTACAAAGTTTTGAGAGGTTAAGTGACTTGCTCAAGGTCAAACAACTATTTTTTCTTCCATTCAATAATTTCTTTTATTATTCAAACATAATTAATTTTGTAAATGCAAAACTATCTATATCTTATCTAATCAGAGCTGTTTATTTTGCTTTTAATGATACCCTATAAACCACAGATCACAGATTTAGTGCTAGAAAGGTCTTTAGAGTCATGTAATCCAAACCTGTCATTTTTCAGACAAAAAAGCTAAAATCCATAGAGATTAAGTGACTTGTACAAGGTCACATGAAGAGTAAGAAATAGATATGGGCTCTGAACCCAGGTTCTCAGACTCTAAATCCACTACCCTTCCCACTGTATCATACCTTGTTTTGATAGGAATTCTCCCCCTAGCTATGGCTATGAAAGGAACTGCTTTTCCTTCTTTAACAAGATAGGACTTTTATATTCTGGTCCCAGATTCATCAGGAGCTTGTTCTGTTATATGGTTTAAGATGCTGATCTAAATCTAATTTCTGCTTTCCAAATTTCCCAGCAGCTCCTGTCAGACAAGAAGTGCTTCTAGGAGCAATATATACTTGGAGATTTACCAAGCATGAGCTACTATGTTTTCTGGTTTCTTTGGCAGGTCTGTTGTAATGACTTATTTTCTATTTTTTAACCAGCACAATCACAGAATGAATGCTTGAAAAGACATTAGAGTGATATCATCCAGTACATACTCCTCATTTTATAGATAAAGATACTGAGGTTCAGAAAAGTTAATGACTTACCCAGGCCACACATTTGGCCAATGGCAGAATCAGAATGGGAACTCAGGTCCTCTGACTCAACATTAATACTCTTTCCATTATACTATACAGTATGCCAAATAGTTTTGCTGGTTCCTGATTTGAAATATAGTTTGAAAACCTTAGTTTTCCTAGTTTGCCTTTTTAGAAGGGTAGATTTTTTTTTTATTAGAAAGATCACTGTTTATTAAATGATGTGAATCTCTAATGGCCACCTTTCATCAACTTACTAAGTAAAGTAGAAGTGGGAAGAAATTTTGGCTGCTAGGAATTTATTCAAATTTATTTTCTGTCAATTTCAACTTATTTAGTGATTTCAGTAAGTTTGCCATTGGAAGATGATGTCATTTCAACTACAGATAAGAATCCAGATATGGTGTTTATTCTGGACCCAAAACTCACTTGACTAAATTACCAGATGGTCCAGTTCAACAATCTAAATCTTAATGGATTTAGGTGACAAGAGCAGCCCATTCTCAGAAGAACCTTTGAATATTTCAAGTTACAGCTTCAACCAAACAAATTAAATGTCCAAAATTTAACTGCTATAAAGGTAAAGAGCTGGTAACAAAAATAGACCCAAAAAGATCTTATTCTTCTTTG